ACATCCCGTTCAATAAATAAAATATCCACACTATAGCATTAAAAAAAATCTATATAAACCCCAGTCTATTTAAGGTATAAAATTTGGTTACTTTTTCATTAACAATGCTCCTATATTTATTAATATAACAATGTTTTAAGTTATTATATTTTTTTTTTATTTCTTATTTATTAAAGCTATTGTTTTTAAAGGTTTAAACTCTTATGTTTTAAATCCATTGTTTTTAAAGGTTTAAACTCTTATGTTTAAACTCTTATGTTCTAAATCTATTTTTTTTTAGGTTTAAACTTTATATTTTTAAGTTTTAAAGAGGAGGAACAATACCTTTACAAATTAAACTTATAGAAAACACTCTATATAATAACAGCTAAGTAATTCATGAGCCTGTCTATGGATTTGAACCAAAATAAACAACTACCTGTTTATGCTCCTTGCACAGACTTTTTCCTTTTTATTTTTATTTAATTTTATTTTTATTTAATTTTATTTTAGTTTATTTTTATTGTTTTTATTTGGGTGTATCGTTTATATATATTAATCCCGGGCTAGTTCCCCAACCCGAACCGTATTTCGACTTAACACCAATCAGAGTCACGCATACGAAGATAGTTCTGCCAAAGGATCTAAACCTAAACATTTAGAAGAACAAAAACAGCTACCAAACTTATTGCACATACTCCTTTCAGCGCCTGACGAGTGGTTAGTACCTATCTGAGATAAAATTCACCGTGACGTGATTATTCACGATTACTAGTAATTCCTTTTTCATGTAGTCGAATTTCAGACTACAATCCATACTATTTCCTATTTTGGGGATTAGCTCCAATTCACATTATTGCATCCCTTTGTAAAGGCTTATGTGGCACGTCTATAGCCCACAATATTAAGGCCATGATGACTTGTCTTAGTCCCTTTTATCAATCCAATTGTATGCGGAGAGCTGCCTTATAATAAAAAAAAATAAAACAAGGGTTTACGTTAATTTAATGGACCTAACCAAATCTCACGACATTAACTGAAGACAGCCATGCAACGCATGTGGTCTAAATAGAAGGTTATCCATTTAGATCATTCAAATTGTGGTAAGGTTCTTCGTGGATTATCGAATTAAATAACATACTTCACTACTGGTTTCAGAAACGGTCTAATGATTTCAGTTCCTGCGTTGCCACATTACTCTTGAGGTGGAGTGCTTCCACTTTCATTTATAGTTCAACTTAAAGCCAACCTATGGCACTCATCATTGTCTGCCCAGGCTACGGGGGTATCTAATCCTCTTCCCTCTCTGAGCCTTCGTCCCTCAACGTCAGTTATAATACTTTACACGATAATTAATTTTTTTTTATTATCTTACCCTTTTTTTTAAGGTAGTTATAGAATTTAAGGTAGTTATAGAATTTTACGCGTATAATTTTATAAGTATAGAGGCATAGTTAGAAAAATAAAAACATAAAAATCCCTATTAATCACTAACCTCTATCTTATTAAAAAGAATTAGTGTGTTTTTAACTTTAAATCTATAAAGTAAAGTATGTATACATAGAGGTTTGCCTTCGCCATTACCAGTCCTATTGGTATTACAGTATTTCATCCCTACACCAATAATTCTGACATATTCCTCTCACATATTAAACTCTAGTGTAACAGGTACTATAAAAGCCTTTGTACACAGTCTAGGTACCCAATATACCTGTTTAAGATGAATAACACTCGTCTCCCTTGTCTTACCGCGACTGCTGGCACAAGATTTAGTCGAGACCTATGGATATAAAGTTGTCATTATCAGCTTTATCCAGAACTTTATAAGACCTAGTCAAGCAAGTTAATAAACCTCTTATATTAACTCTCATTCCTGCAAGTTGCTGGTTCAGCCGTTAGGCCATTGACCAAAATTCCTCACTGCTGTACTACACGCACTGGGGTTTTTTCAGACCCAGTGTGATCAATCGACCTCTCAGTCTTGACTACGGACATAAGCTAAATATGACATTACCACATTTACTACTTATCCGGGGGTTATTTATAATCAACTAAGAGCGAAATCATCTTTCTTTTTTTAACATACTTTATTGTTGTAGATTTTATGTCATCTAACTTTTTATTTTTAAATGCAGTATAAATTTATAATAATAAACATTGTTGCTATAAGGGATTTATTTTACCTTACTCTCAGGTAGCTAAAATACCTATTACTCACCTGTACACCACTTCAACATAAATAATTATAAAAATTAAATATTGACGTACGATTAGCATGTGTCAAGCATTTGCATAGCGTTCAATCAGAGCCATCATCAAACTCAAGTAAAATTTATACAGTAAAAAGTATAAAATAAAAAACCATTAAAGCACTATTAATTCAAAAGACTTTTTAGAGTAAAATGTTTATACTAAAAATGTTTAGAGTAAAATTGCTTAAAGTAAAAAAAAATGCTTAGAGTAAAAATGTTTACAGTAAGACTTTTTATTGTTGCAATTAAAATAGTAAAATAGTTATACTAGCTAACTTTATTACTAATAATGTAAATTAGATATTTTTATAACTAAATATGTACATTAGCAATTTTATAACTAACTATCTAGATTAACAATTTTATAACTAAATATCTAGATTAACAATTTTACTAAAATAATAATATTATTGTAAAATAGCTGTACCTAGTTATACTATTGTAAAACAATTAACGATATCTTTTTATTAGTAATATATGTAAACACATATAACCATTTTAATACCTATAGTATGTCAAACATATATATTCTTATCCAAGACTCGAACTTAGATCAGGATATTAGGAATATCTTATTTTACCATTAAACTAATAAGAATTATTAAAATATATTTAACCTAGAAATAACCAGTTTCATATGAATTTTTTTTATAAAAACAGATTCTTATCTAAGACTTGAACTTAGATTCAGATATTAGAAGTATCTTGTTCTACCATTAAACTAATAAGAATTATTTATTTTAAATATAAAAACAAAACATGTGTAAATTAAAAATGTATAATACTAAATATATATTGTATTAACTAAATAATTTTGTAAAAAAAAATAATATTGCAATAAATATTATGTAAAATATTTTTATTTATAATAAAAAAGCTAATATATATTCTAGAAAAAAAAACAATTTATAACTATTTACTATATATTGTATGATATTAAAATAACCAAAATTTTAATTTTTTTTTATATTTTTATACATAAAAAAACAATATAATAAACATAACAATAACGGTTACAATTATATGTCCTTTTTATGTAATAACTTGCTTCAATATTTAATACTTTTAATGTTATATAGCCAAGCTATTTCAAATCAAGTATCCATCTTTAAAGACGGGGGTGTCCTATACTTATCCTAAATAAATGCCATTGTAATTTTATAAAAAATAAAATAATTTTTCCATTAAACCATCTTAGTTAATTAAACAGATTTTTGTTTTGTTTATTAGTAATGTGTCTAAATTATTACTATATTTACTAGATTACTATAATAAATTATAAATATATTATGGTCTATACTAGATTACTATTAAATATTATAAATATATTATGGTATTTACTAGATTACTATTAAATATTATAAATATAAACATGTTTATTTACTACATTACTATTAAATATTATAAATATAACATAATATTTACTAGATTACTATTAAATGTTATAAACATATTATGTTTATTTACTACATTACTATTAAATATTATAAATATAACATGGTATTTACTAGATTACTATAAAATTTTATTACATATATAATTAATTACTAAAGATAATTATATACCTGATATAATAATCACATAATGAATATAAAAAAAAATTTTTTTTTCCTACTATAAACTATATAACAGTAAATATTTAAAAGCCAAAATTAAAAACACTGTAAAAAAAGATTATAAAAATTATTGAAGTCTATATAATTATATAATTATGTGTTATATTCTATAAGAAAGCTACAAAATGAATAATAGATAATTTATATAAATCATTACACAAATATCACATATCTATGTGATTTTAAAAATAATACGTAGAATAAATATAAATTAGTAATAATAACTAAAAAGGTATTTGGACATAGGGACATGAAGGAATCGAACCTTAAATTTATGATCTGCAATCAAAATGCATAGCCACATGCAACATATCCCTTTTTTTTTCATCAATTCTATGGTACATACAAATATATAGCATGACCAAGAGTGTTTATCTGGTATTTATACTATATATAATAGATAACTATAAGTCCTCATCTTAGTACACTGCATATATATTAGTATGGGTATTTAATGTTAATAACAGGTTATTTGTATGATGCTATGTAATGTATAACTATTATAGTAATAGCTACATAACAAAATAAAATAATATAACATAAAAGTATAGATTTTTAAATGTTTATAATTGTGCTTGTTTTGGTACTAAAAAAAAAAAATAAGACTTCATACCCCCCTTTTAATACATAGTACTGTATAACTATGTATTTTCTATACTCTAATATTTAAACATTTTTTGTTAAATGTTGCTCTTAAAATTATGATAAAAACCTTTTAAATAAACAGTATTTATAACAAGAGAAAAAGGGTTATGTAAGACTTCTTAATATTTTTAACATTTACAATAAAAGGTTACTATGTTAAAACAACTCGCATACTAGGCAATAATTTCCTCATGTAACTCAGAAGGTTTTACCTTTACCAAAAATTTTAAGTATCTTCTATGGAGTGGTATAGTTATGACCACGTACTGTATTTTAGCTATCTTTTCTATTTATTTCTGAGTATCATAGTCATTAGTTTATTCTATATTTTATTCTATTTTTATTAAGTAAATAATAAAAACCTTATTTTCTACTTACATTTTTTAAAGTATTAGTATGTTTTTTTTTTATATTGTAAATATGAATATTTACCAATTAAATACGTTAGTTTAGCTTTGTGTTGATACCTAAACGTATTCTTTTCTTAAGCAACCTTATTCCTTTAATTCTTATTATAAAATAAACTATTTACTTTATAGTTAAAATAGTCTATGTACTGATTATAAGGCATAGGATTATTTAAGACAAAGAGATAATGTCTCTATATAATAATTGTTTATTATCTCTTTTTATCTAACATTTAAACTAGAATAATTTTTTTTTAAGAAAAAGATTCATACTAAAATAATCATGAAGCATAGTAATAATTGCAAAACCTCTAAGCCCTTTTTTTGCATAATACTCAGATATTTTTAATTTATGAGAAACCACAAAAAAAAAAGAAATTGTTATATACATAATATGGTAACAACGTAGAATGATAGAATTTACATGTCTTTCTACCCATAAAACTAACATTGTTACTTAAAGTTTAGTCTTAGAACTTACTACACTAGCTCAAAATTGAGTATGTTTAACAATAATTAGTTTAACAATCATTAGTTTAAACAAATAAACTAATGAAGTTCTAAAGCATCTTTTATGTAAGAACAAGACAAAACCACAAAAACTTGTGATTGTATAAAGGCAATTCCTAGTTCCAACCCCGAAAATGCTATTATAAAGGCAAGAGGTAATAAGCCTAATAGAAAAAAAATGAATCCTGAATTCATAATATTATAGGTAAATCCACTAAGGATGTTTAATAGCATGTGTCCACTTAAGATATTAGCTGCTAATCTTAACCCTAAAGATACATTACGAGCAAGGTACGAGATTGTTTCTATTAACACTAATAGAGGTAGTAATCCTAAAGGACAACCAGCTGGTACAAATAAAGAAAAGAATTTCAATCCGTGTTCTTTAAACCCTAATACTGTAGCACCTAATACTACTGTAAAGCTAAGTGAAAATGTTAATATAAAATGAGATGTAGATGCAAAACTATAAGGTATCATACCTATAAGATTGTTTATTAAAATAAAGATAAAAAGTGTATACATAAAAGGAAAATAAACTTGACCATTTCTACTGTTTATTTGATTTACAACTATACTATAAATAGTAGCATATAAGGACTCTTGGGCTAATGATCACTTATTTGGCGTAATTTTAGAGTAGTTTGTAGATAAAACACTAACACCAAAGGCTAAAAAACTAGCAAGGATCATATATAAACCAATATTTGTGATGGATAAGTTAATATTTCCCAATAAAGGTGTGTCAATACTGAATAGATTTCTGATTTCAAATTGATCAAGAGGGCTTATAATATTTATACACATTAACATAAAAAAAGAGAATGTTTTTACACAACAAGTATACAACAGGGGTGTCGCAGAAAGGAGATCAAGATAGATAGAGTATAGAACTCAAAAGCTGTCTAGCAGATTAGCTAGTGGATTAGTCAGTAGGAGATAAGTAAAATCATAATTAGCCTTTGATTACAACAATTAATATATACTACATAAATGTATATACTTCTCATTAGTAAGTCTAGTCTACAAAGAGTGCATAATAATACTTTATATCTTGTTTTTTACATATTATAGTTGTTAGAACCATTCATACCTCTATGTCATTTTAAATTATGATTCCTCTTTCTAGGTGACTCTAACAATGACCTTTGCAATTTAACCTCTTATACTCTAACTTCATAAGACTTTATCTTTTTTATCTTTACTAACTAAATGTTATATCCTTTTCTTAAAAAGACAAAATCTTATTGTATTATAACTTATATATCTATATATACATATAATAAAAAAATAAAAACAATAACATAAATCTAAAACAAATTTCTTCATATCAAATAAAGTCTGCATTACTAGTTCCAAAGGCTCTTAAGGGATTCCAGCATATAGTGAATGTAAAGTAAGATATTTTTATCTTACCCGGCCATGCCATTTAGATGTTAAATTTTATAAGTAAATTTTCATTTACCTCTATAATAACCAGGTTTATACCCTTTTAAGTATCCTCTGATAACTTGACGATCACCTTTTAAATGTTTAGCTAAACTATTTAAAGAATTAAATTCTAGATTTTTCTTAGGCTCGTGTTTAAACTCTGCTATTATAGATTTAGCTGCAGGGTGTTTAACGTAATACACATATCGTTTTTCTGAAACTATCTTTTGAATTTTATCTAAATAAAGTAAAATAGTCTCAGGTGATTCTTCTATTAAATCTAAAGAATAAAAGAAAGTATCTAGATATATATTACCTAAGTTTAAACAATCATTTAACGTATTATGATGCATATTTACCAAATTATATACCTGTTGTTTTGAATATAAGACATATATCAAAGTAAAGTCTTCAACATTATACATATATACTGGGTACCTCTTTGTTTACGAAGTTTATCTCGCATTTCTTGACTCATTGGTTCATGATACCCAGAACTACAAGCTACCAGATCTACATTAAGATTTCGTTTCAAATAATAAATAAAATGTTGTTCAAGTCCCACTACCTCTTTTAAACTAGAATGATCCTTCATAATATATATAGTTAACTTTATTACTAAAACCATATTTATTTAAATAACGTAAAACTCTTTGTGCTTTAGTATTAAGAATAGACGGCATAAAATAAGAAGTTATTCTATTGTATAAATTAATGGTATGTCCTACATACTTATGTTTTTCGTCTAAAGTTTCTCATACATAGACACTTTTTTGTTTTTTAGTCACTTTAAGTATAATATCCCTATTGTTAAAAGGATCATCTAGTAAGACTTTAACATACGTGTGTTTTTTAGTATCTTTTTTTGGAAAATACGTAACATTACTGTTATGAATTATATAGTAAAATTTGATTAATACAAATAATCTTATATGATTTATATAAAAATATATTGTTATATACTGTTTATAAAGTATATAATCATATAT